CCCGATCCCCCACGGCGTCAGCCGGAGCCTACTCCGGGCACCCGGCCATGGTCCCCCAGTGCTAGGTCCTGGGGCCATTGGCCTTGATGCCAGGGCCCCATCAAAAATGTTATTCTGCGCACCTAGACTCTACCCAGTCTGTGCCTCCAGAATCCCGTCCTATGCACCCACTCCTTAGTCCCGCGAAGCATGCAGGCTGATTCTGTGCCTCCCAGGGTAACTGGGCACCTAGACCCCCACTTGATACTGGTCTGCCACATCCTCATTCTAACTCGCTCCAGAATTTTATTCTGTGCCCCCAGACCATCACACTAAGCAGTCCCAAAACTTCATCCAGGCTTGAGACGTTCCCAGGCACAAAACTGTCCATGTCTTCATCTGCCCTCCACCCCAGGCCCGCCTTCAGCCAGGTGGTCTCTTCACTCCTCACGGCTTTCCCCGCGCCCCGCGTCCGCAAAACTACAACAGTTTGGGGGCTGGGGCGGAAGTTCCCTTTTGGACCAAAATGAATGGAACCCCCTGAGAAGGCGGGCAAGCCTGAACTCGGGAGCGCAACGTGACCGGAGACAGTACCAGCCGCTTCCCGACCCTCCTCCAGCCCAGGCCCGCGGCACAGAGCATGCCTTGGGGGCGGAGTCTGGGCGGATCTGGCTCCCAGGAAGGGGCGGGGCCTCGCGTTGCCCACGTCTCAAGGCGGGACCAGACGGGAAAGGGCCGCGTGTCCAGAGATCCCCCTGGGGCCAGGCTGCGATCGGGAATAGTCGCTCCTCCCTGCCCTTTCCCATCCCTGTATATCCCCACAATCGCATCCAATGTGGCTGCCAGGAGGGGATGTACCGAGAAGGGAACGAGCAGGTGAGTCCTGAGGTAAGCCCTGTGAGCTTCAGGCCGAAAGGCTGAGGGTTAATTCCCCGCTCCTGCCACCGTTCTTCCCAGCCTCTGGGATGAGCATTTAAAAATCACATTCATAGTGCAGCCTGTAATCCCAGTGATTCGGAGGCTGAGGCAGGAAGATGGCAACTTTGAGAGACCCTCTCTCCAAATTAAAAATAAAAAGGCTGAGGATGTGGCTCAGTGGTAGAACGCCCCTGGTTCCAATCCCCAGTACCACCAAAAAACAAAAGAAAAGCAACCCTAAAACATAGCTCATTAAAATAAAAAAGACAGCCAATAACGAAGTGTTGACAACGTATGGAGAATGGGAGGTGTATGTATGTCCAGGAGAACTGAAGACATGTACACACACACAAAAAAAAAAAAAAAAATCTAAACACACTCTTCACTGTATATGAAAGCCACAGTGTAGAAACAACCCAATGTCCATCAACTGATGAGTAAACAAAATGTGGTACCTCCGCACAAGTGGAATATTATTCAATCATAAAAAGGAATAAAATACTCGGGTTGTGGCTCAGAAGTAGAGCACTTGCCTCGCAGGTGTGAGGCACTGGGTTCGATCCTCAGAACCACATAAAAATAAATAAACAAAATAAAGATTTTGTGCCCATCTACGTATAAAAAAAATCTTTAAAAAGGAAATACTGAAATACATTATAGTATGGATTAATCTTTAATTTTTTTTTAAAGAGAGAAACTTTTTAATATTTATTTTTTAGTTTTCCGCGGACACAACATCTTTGTTTGTATGTGGTGTTGAGGCTCGAACCCAGGGCGCACGCATGCCAGGAGAGGGCTACCGCTTGAGCCACATCCCCTGGATCAATCTTTAAAATAATACACCCAGTGAAGGAGCCAGACACAAAAAAACACATATTCCAATTATATAAAATATTCAAAATAGGAAAAGAGAAACTAATGGTTTACCTTTCCAGGTAAGGGGGGAACATGGAATGACTGCTAATGGATATGGAATTTTTTAAACTGTTTTAAAAAATGTTTTTATATGGGGTTGGGGGTGTAGCTCAGTGGTAGAGTGGTTGCCTGACATGCATGGGGCACTGGGCTCAATCCTCAGGACCACATAAAGATGAACAGGTAAAATAAAGGCATTTCTGTCCATCTACAATTACAAAAAAAAAAAAATTTTAAAGATGTTTTGTAGTTGTAGATGGAGAGCATGCCTTTATTTTATTTATCTTTATGTGGTGCTAAGGATTGAACCCAGTGCCTCACCCATGCTAGGCAAGTGCTCTGCCACTGAGCTATAACCCTAGCCCCTAGAATTTCTTCTGGAATGATGAAACTGTTCTGAAATTAATAGTGATGGTTGCATAACTATGTTAATATATTAAACAACTCAGCAAGACTCTGTCTCTAATATAAATATGGGCTGGAGATATGTTCAGTGGTTAAGCACCCCAGGTTCAATCCCCAGTACCAAACAAACAAACAAACAAAATTGAGCCTATTCTATGTAGGCCTGTTCTGAACATTGAAGACAGGTAAATTGGACATCTCTGGTATGATTGGGAGGCAGATGCCAAGTGGGCACAGGAGCAGCAGGGGCTCATGGGGCTGAAGAAGGTTATACCACAGGACGGGGAGCAGGGAAGGCTTCTTGAAGGAGGTAGCCCTTGTATTGACTAACTGCATAGGAGAAGCAAGAATGATTCTCCAGGCGGTACCGACCACCTCTATTCTCACCTGGTTGCCATGTGTCTGAGGCCTATAATCCCCTGGGTCTCCCATCATAGCAGCGGTGCCTTTATTGTCACTGCCCACTCAGTATCTATCCTTGTCTCTTTCTGATCCATCTCTGTATCCCCAGATTTTCCCAGAACAGTGGCCTAGAGCACTGTTAAATAAAGAAAAAGGATTGGGGTGGGGAACAGCCAGGCAGATAGAGGGACAAAAACATGAATGCCCGAGGCAGCTTGTGTGCTCTAGGGGTCTACTCCTACCTCAAGCCCAGCTTCCTTTAGTGGTTTCTCCAGCTCCACCCCCTCCAGCTTGGTCTGGACAGCTTCCTGCCCATGCACACATTTGGGGCTGCACCACCATGGCTTTGACTACCTGCCTCTTCGCCATTTTGGCCCTGTTACTGGCAAGCCTAACCCAAAACATCACAGGCTCCCATGGAGCCCAGGTAAGTGCTCCCAACTTGCTCCCCGTACCCTCCCCACTACCAGTACCAGGTCCAGGATTATCCCTTCAGAAACAACTGACTTGTCGCCAGGCAAGATGGCACAAGCCTATAATCTCAGCAACTTAATGAGACCCTGTCTCAAAATAAATAAATAAAATAAGGACCAGGGATGTGGCTCAGTGGTAAAGCTCATCTGATTTAATCAAAAGAACGGGAAGGAAAGAAGGAAGGAAGGGTGGACTTGGCTTGCCATGCCTATTTCTCAGAGGGAGTAACAGAGACTGGAAAGGTGGTTGCTGTGTCCAGGCTCACAAAGGAAGACCAAGAAGGATAATTCACTGACACCTTAGCCCAGTCCTAGGAGATGGAGCTAAGGTGGGGTCCCAGCAATGACTTTTCCACCTGTGCTTTCTCTTCCATCTCGATTCCTTGCCAGAATCTAGGTCCCTGGCCACTGGAGCTGAAAGAGGTCTTCAAGTTGTTCCAAATCCAGTTCAATCGGAGTTACTTGAACCCAGCAGGTATCTTGGGTCATATAAATCTCCAGTCTAGCCCCCACTCCAAATAGATGAAGAACTTGAGGCTCATGGTGGGAGATAAGCTTGGCCCAGGCTACTCACTTCAGCAGGGCTGGGGATATACTACTTGGTTCTCCAAATGCACATGTAGGTACAGGAAGGAGCATCCTTTGCCATGTTCCTGAAGGGAAGATGGCAGCTGTTGGGCATCTCTCCTAGCCCTGCAGTTGATTTCCCTGCCATTCCAGGCAGTGGAAAAGGAACTACCATCTAGTCATAAGTTCATTGAACAAGCACCCAAACATACCCATTTTGTCCCCAAGGTAGGGAATCCCTCTCTCCCCATGAGCTGCCAACCCAGCTCCTGCCCCCTCTGTCCTGGATCTCCTCTTCCATAGGGGGCTGATCTGGACCCCATTCTTCCACCCTACCCTGTTCCAGCTCCTGATCTGTGGTCAGAGGTGTGAAGAGGAGGTGGTGGATGTGGCCTGGCAGGAAGCCGGTCTCCAGCCACTCACTTTCCCTTCTGAGTCACTCTGCCCTTCACTCAGCCTCCCGAGGGTGGGAAGATGCTCCTCTTGCTGCCTCTGGGAAAGTCCTAACTCTAGGTGGTTGGGTAACCACTTCCTCGCCCACTGTCTACCACAGAGCCTATAGGGGCTACAGGAAAGGAGCCAGTGCCCACCTGGGTAGGAACATGCCCAGCCAGTGCCCACTTCCTGCCTCTGAGGGGGCTTGGGAGTCAGCCTGAGATAACTCTTTTTTGGTGTAGAGTATGCTCGCCGCCTGGACATCTTTGCCCAGAACCTGGCCAAGGCTCAGCAACTACAGGAGGAGGACTTGGGCACAGCTGAGTTTGGGGTGACTCCATTCAGCGATCTCACAGGTACCTGGACCCTCCTGGGCCACAAGTGGCAGGTGGGAAAGCTGGATCCTGTAGGATATACTGGTAGAGCAGACGAACAGAACAGACTTTCTACTTTGAGGACCAGAGGGTGCCTGTCCCAAATCTCAGACTGCAAGGGCAGGAACTCAGCCAACCTGTCCCAGCCCAGCTCAAGGGCTAGAGGCAGCAGGTGAAGCAGAAGGTACCAGCAAAGAGCTCGGTGTGAAGAGGAGGTGGCGGATGTGGCCTGGCAGGAAGGTGGCGGATGTGGCCAGTACCCTTATCTTGCCACCTCTGAGGGACCCAAATGGCCAAGGATGTGGATGGCTAGGATGGAAGGGGCAGAATATGGAGAAAATGGGGTCAAAACTGACCTCTGTGGCTCTGTCTGTCCCCAAGAGGAGGAGTTTGGAAAGATCTATGGACACTGGAAAGCAGATGGGAGCCCTAGCATGGGAAGAAAGGCAGGGCATGAAGAGGCAGGGAAGCCTCTGCCCTCCACCTGTGACTGGCGGAACGCAGATGGCATCATCTCATCTATCAAGAACCAGGTATCTGGGGCCAGGGTTGTGGCTCAGTGGTAGAGCACTCGCCCAGCACGTGCGAGACCCTGGGTTCAATCCTCAGCACCACATATAAATAAATAAATAAATAAAGTAAAGGTATTGTGTCCAACTACATCTAAAAAATAATTTTAAAAAAGAACCCTCACCTGGATAGGTCTATCCGTATGCAGCCCAAGGGTGGGAGAAGGGAGGATAGGCCTGAACACCCACGGTGCTCTACCCTCTAACCTCCCAGGGGAACTGCAATTGCTGCTGGGCCATGGCTGCTGCAGGCAACATCGAGGCCCTGTGGGGCATCACATACAGACAGTCCGTGGAAGTTTCTGTGCAGGGTATGGCCAGGAGAGGGGTGTATGACAGGGAAAAGAGAGATAGGGGCCTGGTCACCTACACTGTCCCTTTCTGCCCCAGAACTGCTTGACTGTGGCCGCTGTGGGGACGGCTGCAAGGGTGGCTTCGTCTGGGATGCATACATAACTGTCCTCAACAACAGTGAGTATCCCCATCGCTAGCCAAGTACAGGGCTGGGGGAGATTCAGGAGCAGAGGTTCCTTCCTTATCTTGCTTGTCTTCAGGTGGATTGGCCAGTGAAAAGGACTACCCATTCCAGGGGCACACCCGGGCCCACATGTGCCAAGCCAAGAAGTTTAAGAAGGTGGCCTGGATCCAGGATTTCATCATGCTGCAGGAAAACGAGCAGAGTGCGGCCAGGGTGGACACGGGCAGGGAATGGAGGGGCTGAGGGACAGAAACTAGGACGGAGGCACCCAGACTGGCCACAGACAGAGGTGGGAGGTAGGGGGAGAAAGGGACACCCCTATGACAAGAGTAGCAACCCCAGGGCAGGCAGGACCTGATTGCACCCTCCTTCTCCAGCAATTGCCTGGTACCTGGCTACCCAAGGCCCCATCACAGTGACCATCAACATGAAGCCACTGCAGGTGGGTAGGGTAGGACGTGGGAGGTGGGGCATATGGGATGGGTGGGCTCAGACTCAACATTTCTGCCCCTGTAGCACTACCGGAATGGTGTGTTCAAGGCCACACCCACCACCTGTGACCCCCGGGTTGTGAACCATTCTGTCCTGCTGGTGGGTTTTGGCAAGAGCAAGGTGGAAGAGGGGATACAATCAGCCTCTTCTGCATCTTGTTGCCGTCCTCGCCCCTCCACCTCTTACTGGATTCTGAAGAACTCCTGGGGGGACAACTGGGGTGAGGAGGTGAGTAGGATCCATTGCAAGAGGGGTCAGGGTAGAACAGGCCCTCTCCCACCTTCTGGCCTTGATGTCCCCTAACTTCCTAGGGCTACTTCCGACTGCACCGGGGAAGCAATACCTGTGGCATCACCAAATACCCAGTCACAGCCCGTGTGGGAAAACCAGCTAAAAAGCAGCCAGTCTCCTGCCCTCCCTGAACGTGTCAGCAGCCTGCTGGCCCCTCCTGCATGCCAGCTGCCTCTACATAGGCCCTGCCTGAGGTTTTTGCCTATCTTCCCAATCTTCTATACAACTTGAATAAACCGAGACAAAACTCTTGGCTCCTCGGTATACTTAGCTGGGGCATGGAGATGGCACGTGGGGGAGATAACAGACAGTACCCCTGACCTGCCCCAGTCCCAGAGGGGCTGGCATACACCAATGACACTCAGGTATACACGGCACATGTCCCCAAATACTCCTCTCCCTAGAGTGAAGATCAGTCTTCAAACTTATGGCAACTTTATTTTCAGTGTGCTCAGGATAGAAGAGGAGCCTCAGTCATGATAGAGGCGCAGGAGGCAGCCACGGAGGGTGCCCATGTACCGATCCCAGAGGGTTGGGTGCCTGTAATGAAAGCAGCAACAAGTCTTCATATATACATATATATATATTTTTTTGGGTGGGGGTGGGGGTGGGTGGGGGCTGGGGATTGAGCCCAGGCTTGTTCATTACTGTTACAACCTTGGCCCCTTTTAAAATTTTTTATTTTGAGATAGAGTCTTGCTGAGTTGCCCAGGTTGGCCTTGAACTTGTGATCCTTCTGCCTCAGCTTCTCAAGTAGCTGGGATTAAGGTGTGCACCACCATACCCAACAAGTCCTCATAAATTCTTGTGATTCTTCTAATTATTATCCTCAGTTTATGTGAGGAAACTGAGGCATGGAGAGGTTAAATAACTTGCTTAAGGTCATATAGATTCTAAGAGGAATCCCTAAGGCAGCAAGATAGGGAACCCTGAGTCTGCAAGAGGGTGAACCCTGGCAGGTGGCCAGCTGGATCAAGGCTAAGCTAGATACAAGGTCTGGGGTCTCTCACCGGAAGCCATCCAAGGAGTGAACAGATGCTGAATACTGATTCAGGAAGAGCCGCACATCATTTAGTGGCCAGTGGTCAGAGCGGCAGGGTTCCACAAACTGTGGGTTAAAGAGAACAGTATCACCAGTACCATCCAGAGACAGGCTGGGTCAGGGATCCCAGGGTGGCAGGAAGGACATCTCACCTTCTCAACGAGGTCCACAAACAGGTCTCTGACATCCTTATTGTGGGTCAACTTGGCAGCCACATTCACCAGCCCCCGAGACAGGTTCTGTGGGGCAGGGACCCTGGGAGTTCTGCTTTCTGCCCAGAAGGAGCTGGGCACAGAGGCTATAGGGTGAGGGGGAGAGGCCCCTCCTCAAATCTATCCACCTCCCTCAATCAACCAGGTCCCTTCAGTTTATAAGCCTGTCCCTCCTCACAGGCAGGCAGAGGGAGCAACATCGCCACCTGCCAGTTAACCTTAGGCAAGAGCACAGTTGCCGGGAGGGGTAGGCTGAAGATGCCAGGGGAGAGGCTGGACAGGGCCACAGACCTTGAAGTTGGCTTCCATCTCAGAAAAGACGCCGAGCTTTCCCCGGAGGGCAGTGCATACCAGGCTACAGGGAGAAAGGGTTATGCCTAGAGCCATCTCAGCCCCCACTTCAGGCCCTGCCCATGGACTCCCAAGGTCACCTCTTGTGCAAGTCCAGAAGGTCCTTGTCAGCCACTAGCACCTTGAGTTCCTTCAAGTCCTGGAGAAACTCCTTATCTAAGTCCACATCCATATCGTCCACCTGGGAGTCTGTGTGAGGCCCATGAAGGGAGTTGGGGTAGGTAATAGACCCATCCCATAAGATGCTGAGCATTCCTCACCCACTACCTCATTGCAACCCATGGAACAAAAGAGAAAATGAGGTCTCAAGGTGGAGTGACAGGTGCCACGTTGTAGATGCAGTGGGCTCTTGCTCTGCAGATAAGGTGTGTGGGGGAAAGCAGACTATGAGCAGAGGTAGCCTGGGTGAGGACCTGAAGACAAAAGGATGCTGGAAACTGGGCCTACAGGAGGAACTGCAGGTGGGAAGCAGGCCCTAGGAGGGTAGGGACAGTATCCAGGCACCTGGGTCAGTGGGGGCCTCACCAACGGCTCCAAGAGTCCAGTTCTGGATCATGAGCTCAGCACAGAAAGCAAAGTCGCCGAAACTCAGATACTGTAGCTTTTTCTTCCCTGTCTCAAAGCGGTTGTTGGCAAAGAAGACGATGGCTGCATAGTCCCTGCAGGGAGGAGGAGGCAGGTCCTCTCAGTGCTTGAAATTCCTTTTCACAGTGCCTACAATAATGTCCTGAATATTAAGCTTACTAGATAAATGTTTAGTGTGGAATAAAAAAAATTCCTTCTTAGCAACAAGCTCCCACAGGCAACCTCAGCTGGGCATCCAAATTCTGGCCTCTTTCTGTCCTAACTCATTGTGTGAAATGTCTCATGTCACTTCTCTATGGGACTCTTCATCTGTGCACAGAGAAGCATTCAGCCCAGGTTTATTAAGGAATAATGTGGAAGACTACAAGGGTACCAGCTACCATTACTGAGCACTTCCTAAGTACCTTAATGTGTCACCTCATATCAGACCAGATGCAAAATAGCAGGACAGAATTTGAATCCAGGTCAGTCTGATCCAAAGTACAGACCAGAAGTGGGATAGCCATCCCCCTAGTAAAGCTAGGAGGTGGAAGAAGTTGAGGTGAGCAACATGGGTCAGACTTAGGGCCCAGGGAAGGTGTGTGCAGAAGGGCAGATGGCCAGCCCCTCACCTGGCCAATCGGTCAGAGAGGAGGAAGTGTTGCTGGATGTTATCCACCAGGGAGCCCCGCATTTCCTCCACCACCTTGAAGACTCGCTTAAAGTTGTCAAACTAGAGGGCATTTAGGGGAGGAAGGAAACTGGTTAGAATGTGCTCATCCAATGAACTACTTAGTGAACATCCCCCTCTCTCCTAACCACCTATTCTATTGGCAGTTGCTGATTTAGCACTTGCCAGTTCTTCAACAAACTACTAGTTATTAGTAGCTATTATCAATTCAACAAATGTTTGCCAGCTTTTGTCATCTTGCCTTGAATAATTAATATTTACTCACTTTTTTTTTCTTTTTCGTGGTGCTGGGGATGGAACCCAGGGCCTTCTGCATGCTAGGCCAGTGCTCTACCAATGAGTGATGGCCCCCGCCACCCTTACTCCTCTCTCTAAATGTAACCCCAATTTGCACCATCATGTTCTCTTGAGTCTTCAGGAACTTAAACAGGAACAGACTTTCCTAAGTCCTAGGAATTCAAAGCCATACTTGGGGAGCTCATGGAAGGCACAGAAGAAGGGCATTAAAGGCTCAAAAAGCTTACTTCTCCCTGGCACTGACAAAAAGTCTTGTGCGGAAGACTTTAATTTCAGGGAGACAGATAAGGTCAAAAATAGTACCTTCCAGGTAGAAGCAACATGAACAAAAGAAATCCTGGGAATTGAGAAATGAAAGCCTCGAGAGGTCTGCAGGGAGCAGGAGAGGCTGAAGATTAAAGGCAAGAAGTGCAGTTTCTACCCAAGAGGTAATGAAAATTTATGAGCAGGGGAGAGCCAAGGTCAGATGTGTACCTATGAAAGGTCATCCTGGCCATAGGGAGGGGATGACTTAGAAAGAACAAAAAGAGTGGGGGAAGAGACTAGGCATGAAGCTGCTGCCACAATCAGAGGCTGGAGGTGGGACAGTAGCCTAGGGATGGAATAAAGGAGAGGACTGAAAATGGACTTTGGGTGCAGTGCCTACCTGTCTCCGACAGCTCTTGAGAGTGATGCCTGTTTTGGTACTGATGTCGTCCAGGTCTTTCTTGGTGCCCTTGGACAGCTTCTTGCCCAAGACCTCTCGAACAAAGGCCTCATCAAAAGCATAGTATCTTGTGGAAGCAAGAAGACACCACTAACTCTTCATAAAGGAGGGGAAAAGGGGTCCCGGCAGGGCCTGGGGCTGGCCTCATCTTTCAACTTTCTTAGTTCTTAAGTAAGTCCCGTCCCTCCCAGACCTCGGTTTCAGCCTGCAAAACAGGTATACGGTCAGACTGGTTGACGTCCCCACCATCCACCAGGTGAGCACCTCTCAATGAGCAACGCCTGCCGGGAGGGCGGAATTTGGAAGATGAGTTGGTGCAGTAGCTTGGGTGGCGCGTGCAGCAGGCGCTCAAGCATGTGGAAGGTGCGGTAATGGTCCATAGTGTCGCTCTGCAGCACCGCCGCAGTGGCCCCTGTCTGCTCCAAGATTCCCGAACGCACTCTCAGAGCCACAGCGTCGCTCACTGGGGAGTGGGTGCCATCATCAAGACCCAGCCCCCCTGACCCCTGAGTCCCTTCAGGAACGCCAGCACTAACCCTTCTACAAGCCTCATTCCAAGCCAGGTGACCACTTCCCTTAAGGATGTCTGAGTCCTGGCCCCGCCCCCTGTTCCATTCAAAACAACTGCTCAGCCCCACTGGTTCCCACAGAAGGACCCCCACAACCTGAGTAACCATCCAACCAGAGGCGATACACGTCCTCGTCGATAAGGGTCGTGTTCCCCACGAAGATGTCCAGTTCGCTAGTCATGGCGACGCCCGGGCCCGGGGCGCCGCGAGCAGGAGCTGGCACTGCCCGGGCCCGGCGCGCGGTTGCCGGGCCACTTCCGGGAGCGCAGAGATTACGCTCCGAGCACCCGGAGCCAGTGAAGGACCACTTCCGGAACGGAGGGGGTGGGGCGGGGACAGCTAGGAAAGAGGTGGAAGCCTGTCTGTAGAGTAGCTGCTCCCTACACTGAGACGGATATATCCCAGATCTCTCGCTCTCCCTACTCTGTTGATCCGAACTGTTTTCAGGAGGGCATCCTAAGTGCCTCCCGCTCATCTCTCCTGCCCCACAAATTCTCCCCTCACTTCCTTTCACCATCTCTGCCCTCCTGGGGCCTCTCAACTTTGATCTGCATCCTAAACATCACAGGGCTCTCTCTACCCTAAGTCTCTCCTCTGCAAAATGGGTGTGGGGTCCTACTTCCAAGAGCTCTTTCTGGGGATCCCTCTAATCATCCTGCAATTGAGCACCTTCCCTGGACACAGGGCACCTGCTCCCACCATGGTTTTAACCACAATCCTCATTCTCACACCATCTTATTGGACTCATCAGAATGCCTGGAGCCAGCATCCACAGGGTTGCCTATCTACGAAGTCTCTCCGTATTGTCTTCCCATACACCCCTCAAAAGCTCAACACATTCTAGACAGACGTTTTGCTCTTCCCAGATCTCTTCCCTATCTCAGTGACAGCCCCAATATCCACCCAATTCTCACACTAGAAACCTGGACTTTCGCCCAGATTCTTCTCTTTGCATTTGCCTCCTGAGTATCTTTAGTATCTGTTTCACCCCCTCCACTCCCACCGACACAGTTCCAGCCCAGTCTGCCTAGCTCTCCTTGTTCACTGACACAATGTTACTAATCTCCCTGCCTATCCCTGCCTCCCTTCTCTCCTCACAAAGTCCATCCCACACAAAGTCGCTGAACAATCTTTTTTAAGTGCATAATTTAAAATTTACTCCCCTGTTTTAAATCCTTGTGGGCCTTTGGAAACTCTCCAGTCTAGTATTGGAATTTCTTAAGGATTTTAACTGAGTGTGGTAGTGAATGCCTGTAATCCTAGGGATTCAGGATGAGCCAGGGGAATGCAAGTTGGAGGCCAGCCTGGGAAAATTTAGACCTTGTCTCAAAAAGAAAAAAAAAATTAAAAGAGGTTGGGGATGTAGTTCATAGATAAAGTGCCCCTGGGTTCAATCCCCAGTATTGCAAAAACAAAACAAAACAAAAAAAAATCTGGCTTCCACCTACTCTTCCACACCACTTTCTATACACTTCTGTCTTTGAAAAAACATCAGGCTACTCTCATTGTTCCCAAAGCAGCTAGGCTTTTTGGAGCATCAATGTCTTTCACTCCGCTATTCTCTCTCCCTCACATAGTTTTCTCTCTACTTGGCAAAGTCCTATTCACCTTTCAGGGTCAAATTGCATATCACCTTTTTGGAGAAATCTTTTGGGAATCCTCTAGACTATACTTGAGGACTCCTTTTTATTTATTTTTTTTTAAGAGAGAGAGAGAGATAGAGAGAGAGTTTTTTAATGTTTATTTTTTTTTAGTTTTTGGCGGACACAACATCTTCGTTTGTATGTGGTGCTGAGGATCGAACTGGGCCGCAAGCAGGCCAGCGTGCTACACCGCTTGAGCCACATCCCCAGCCCACTCCTTTTTATTTTTATTTTTCCTTCTTGGTACTGGGGATTTAACCCAGGGGTGCTTAACCACTGAGCCACATCCCAGCCCTTTTTTTATATTTTTATTTTGAGACAGGGTCTTGCTAAATTGCTTAAGGCCTCAGCAAAGTTGCTGAGGCTGGCTTTGAATTCACAATTCTTCTGCCTCAGCCCCCTAAATGCTAGATTCCAGATGTGTGCCACCACAGCCAGCATTTCTTCTTCTTTTTGGTATTGGAAATGAACACAGGATCTTAGGCATGCTTGGTAAGCGCTCTATCACTGAGCTACACTCCCAGCCCTCCTCCAACTTTTTGCTTCTTGTTAATCTCAGCATGTTTTCTTCACCAGATTTTGGACTCTTTGAGGTCAAGATCAGGATCTTGGTCAAATTTATTTCTGCTTGAGCTTCACACACAATAAAGGTTTATTGAATAAACGAATCCCTTGGATGTCCAATTCCCTGGGAGGAAGGGTAGACTGATAAATGAAGCCAGGACATTTGAATTCAGGATCCAGAGGAGCTAGGAGTAATGCTTAGAGAGCGAAGACTAGAATTCCACAGAAGATAGGAGAGAATGGAAAGCTATCTGTCTGGTTTCCGTCGCGGATTGGGCAGGAAGGAGTCAGAAGCGGTCGCCCAAATCTTCGTTCTCAGATGAAGCTGAGAGGCTTAGGCTCAGGATTGATGAGATCTGGAACTTGGAAGGACTGAGCCCCTCCAAATTGAGTTAAGACTGGCGCCAGGGGTCGCGATCCCTCGAGTCGGAATGGGCGGGAAGAGGCGCTCAGCGCTCAGTCCCCGCCCGTTTCCGGAGAGGCTTGCCTGATTGGTTGTCCTTTGGTACCGTCACGCAGCCCCGCCTCGGCGCGCGTCCCGCCGCGTGCCCACCCCCGGGTGGTTGCTGCAGCCTACGCTACCTCTAGCACTGCTGGCCGCCCGCGGAGCAGGAGCCAGAGCCAGAGCCCGAGCCCGAGCCCGAGCCCGAGCGGCGCCGGTCCCAACGTCGGGCTCTTGGGCCGCGGCGGCGGGCGGGCGATGCTCCAGCGGCCTGACCAGCCATGGAGGCCGAGGCAGGCGGCCTGGAGGAGCTGACGGACGAGGAGATGGCGGCATTGGGCAAGGAGGAGCTGGTGCGGCGACTGCGGCGAGAGGAGGCGGCGCGCCTGGCGGCACTGGTGCAGCGCGGTCGCCTCATGCAGGAGGTGAATCGGCAGCTGCAGGGTCACCTGGGCGAGATTCGCGAGCTCAAGCAGCTCAACAGGCGCCTGCAGGCCGAGAACAGGGAGCTGCGCGATCTGTGCTGCTTCCTGGACTCGGAGCGCCAGCGCGGGCGCCGCGCCGCACGCCAGTGGCAGCTCTTCGGGACCCAAGCATCCCGAGCGGTACGGGAGGACCTGGGCGGCTGTTGGCAGAAGCTAGCCGAGCTGGAGAGCCGACAGGAGGAGCTGCTGCGGGAGAACCTGGCGCTTAAGGAGCTCTGCCTGGCGCTGGGCGAAGAGTGGGGTCCCCGGGGCGGCCCCGGAGGCGCTGGGGGCTCCGGCACCGGGCCGACCCCAGAGCTAGCCCTGCCTCCTTGCGGTCCCCGCGACCTAGGCGACGGGAGTTCCAGTACCGGCAGCGTGGGCAGTCCCGATCAATTGCCCCTCGTCTGCTCCCCGGATGACTGAGGGCGCTGCTTCTACGCCGACGCTCGCCAGAATTGCTTCCTGAGCGCCAGGACTGCTGTGGATCTCCGGACCTCGACGGTCGCTTCGGCAGTGTAATAGGGGCCGCTGCCATGGACTAAGAATCCCTGACATTGAGGAAGGCCCCCCGCTCTCGCTGGCGGGGTAGCAGGGGGACTGGAGGCTGGAGCGGAGGGACTTGCTGGGGGTTGGGTGGGGACTAATAAACTCGGACGGAAGCGGAGCCTGAAGCCTGGGCAGCATCTGTCTAGGACTCGCCGGGGTTGGGGTGAGGGAGGGAACGCTAAGACGGGGTATCATTCCCTTATAGAGGGACTGCTTCAGAACTAAGGTGGCTTACTTCCCGCATTACTGGGGATCCACTGGGGTGGGATGCAGAAAGGTCTTACTCCACTGTCTCTCCCCCCCCCCCACCCCGTTGGTTGCCCGGATAGGCCGTAATCAGCCCCCTGAAGTGGTTCCAGCTCCCTTCCCGGCTCCTTCCTGTCCAAGACAATGGGGCAGGAAGCAGGTGTTGGGGACCTAGAATCCACTGGCCGGCTCCTCGGAAAGTGGAGGGGGCATAACAGCGCCCCCTGTGGCGCAAGCAGGAGCACTGTGGGCCCCCAGGGGGAGAAATTAGGATCTTAGCTTGCACCCCACGTCATTCTCACCTCTTGGTCCTGGAGATGAGGCAGAGCATACATAACCCTGTTTATCAGATAAGACAGTTGAGGGCCAAGAATATGATCAAAGTCACTGCAGTGAGTCAGGAGTTGAGATCAGAACCTAGAACTTCTTACCCCAAATTGTCTCTTTAAAAGCATCTGGATCCAACCAGGCATCCAGGCCAAAGCTTCAAGCCTTTTATTCCATTTTGGCAGGTTTGTATAAAAATACTCTCTTTAGGAAAATAAATAGCAGCTGCCCTCTCTGGGAGGCTTGGATTTCCTGGAGCTAAGGGCTTCTCAGAGCTGGGGGCTGCAAGTCAGCTCATCACAGAAACCTCTGACACCTCCTGAGCTGTGCCATTCAGGAGGGGCTGGCAGAATGCTCTGGTCCAATCACCTGGAGCTGCTGGCAGTGGGCTGGGTGAATTAGTGTTCTAGGCTGGTAAAACAGCACCTTCTGTCAGGGGGTAGGGTTGGCTGGGTTACAGGATAATGAAGTATAGTAGGTGTGGTCTAGAAGGGGTTAGGAGCTGCCAGAATTTCTCTGTCAAAAATGGGAAATATTTTGTTTCTGATTTAGTGCAACTTGTGATGGAGAGGCCAGCTCTAGAGAAACAGTGGGCAGCTTTGGTGGCCCCAGGCTGGCTCTACTGCAAAGCAAAATATGCTCAGTCTCATCTGGAAGGATGGAGAAGAACCTGCTGGTATTGGGCATGGGATATGGTCCAGGCCAGCTGGACTAATGGGGGAAAAGGAGATGTTGACTAGGATAGCACCTGCAGGGGATGGCGCTGGGTGCTTCACAAAGCGAGGAGGGTGGGAGAACCCAGGGGGTCAGAAGATGGGTCTCCACTGCTGCTGCTACTCTTTCGATGAGCTGAGGCACAGGGCTCAGGGGTGCTGGGATAGGTGAAGACCAGACTGGGGGTAAAAGGGGTCAGAGAGGGTGTAGTCATGAGTGTGGGGGTGTGCAAGGCCTCAGGTTCAAGTACAGGCCCTGGGGAAAGGGAGATGCAAGGTACAGGGCGGCAGGGGGCTGGTGAGCTGCTGGTGCCCCCTGTACTGCTGGTACAGCCTGTGTCCCTCTCCTTGTCTCCCTCTGGGATTTTGCAGATGGGGCGGTGAGCTTCCAGCACCAGCTCCAGACGCTCCTTCTGCTTCTGTAGCTCTTCAATCTCTCTCTGCAGTCCAGATTTCTCATCCTCCAGTTTGTCAGTCTCCTGTAGAGGGTTAGGAGAAGAGGAGAAGATGAGGACTGAAGACCCCCAAAGCCTCCCCTGGAGGGAGGTTGGGGGGAAGTAGGGGTTTGGAAGTTCCCTGCAAATCTGGACTGCAACTCCCATAAGCCCCTGGGAGAAAATGGGCACGGGCATGACTCCCATCAGGCCCAGGGCTTCTTAGGAAATTGTCAGCTGGCTTCATTTGGTCTCTGTTGAGAAGCGTGCTGCAACTAATTTTTAATTACCTTGTCCTCGTCCTTTTCGCAGGACAAGGAGCTAGGATGGGTAATGGGGGCTAATGTACTGGGGTCCCGCGGACTCCTGGGATCAGGGTCCCTTTGCCCCCTAAATCTACCAGTGCTCACCGCCTGCAGGAAGTCAGTCAGTTCCTTCCTGCGATTCCTGCACTTGGCCGCGGCCAGCTTGTTCCGCTCGCGCCTCACTCGCCGCCGCTCTTCCTCCTCCGGGCTGATCTAAAGGGAGGGGATGGGGGCGTCAGTGAGGCGGTCCCGCGCCACCCGCCGCCTGGAACTCGCCCTCTGCGGAGGGCACGGCAGCGCGGGGTCACAACCCTCAACCTGTGATTTAGTGACCACCACACTCGACTGGTTCTCCGTACTCAGGCGCAAATCCTCCTCACCCCTAGCTTCAGTGCCTATTTCTCTACCGAAATGCCCTCGCTTCCCACAAAACTTAACCCTTCTCATCTCCCAGGACCAAACTCAGAAGCCCTCGCCTCCATGAAGCCCAGCTAGAAGTGAACTTTTTATCTTCTGAGCCCCTAGGTCAGGATTATCCCTGTTCCCTGGACCCTTGTCCTTTTGGATCTCTGGTAGGACAAATCTCTTCCTGCAGGAACAGTGACGCCTTAGTGGGGCTCATGAGTGCTGCTGAAGGCTTTTTTTTTT